TCTCACATAGACATGTACTTTCTCTCTTTTTGACACACACACACACACACATACACGGTGTCCCACCATATTACCCTGCTCCTCACAGCTGGGCCTGAGGAAGCAGTAGCGACATATGGGAAAGCCAGCCTGCAGCATCGCTCAACTCAACCTGCCAAGCTGAACAAAAACAGCCTCCTCCCTCTTCAGATCAATGGCACTCCCTTCCTTCCCTCCCTCTCTCTCCCTTCCTCTATTACCATCTCTCCCTCCCTGCCTTCCTCGTCCAACTCCACCAGCCGATTATCTACTTGTTTCTCTCATGCCAGGACTGGCTTCTGTCTCGTGGCACAATGTGGCAGAGAAGTTTGACAAGCATGTTCATTTTAAATTTTCTGATTGTCAAAATTTTTATCAGAAATAAATTTCAACTCTGCTCATTGCAAAAGTCGTCATGGATGCTAAAATCATCAGGCATACAATTTACAATTCTAATTAGGTGAAATTGGGTGCTGCACCAACAGTGCTCTAACATGTCCAACCACAGATATACTTACAACTTGCATTTGATTTATTCATGGTACTATTATTTGATCAAGTGTTGTACGTACAAAACAGGGCTGGAAACGTGCGTACGCCACTTAACAAGCAAAGGTTGTGATCTATAAAAAAAAAAACTTGACGGGAAAATGTGCGTCCCCTAAGTAAACTCTGAACCATGCGTATGCACATAAAGAGGAGAAATGAGAAACGGTGACTCACATGGCAGAAGGATGAAACTGTTTGAAATGAATAGGCCTACTTCTGTGTAAAATATATCTAAATATTAGGCCTACCTCTGAGTATTGTAGGCTTAAAGCCTTTCTGAATAAACAAACACCCCTTTGACTGACTTTCCCTGAAGTGCGTAAAAAACACACATAATTTAAGATCATTTGCAGCACACAAAAAGATCCAGATTTAGGATAATAAACACAAACGGAGATTATGTTTCTGCAAAAGAACACCACACATATTTTGTACAGTTTAATTCGGAATCATATTAATTAATACTTGCATGCAGTACAATTTATTCTCATAAATAAGGTGAACAGGAGGACAAATTAAATTGAATGCGAGTGTATAGTTTCATATTGCCTATTGTTATCAGATGTTTGTTGCCTTTTCAAGGCTAACGCTATGTGCCAGCGTGTGGATGTGATGCGCTGTTTGGCGTTACAGACAATATAACACTATTTTATTAAAGAAATCTTTCAGTGTGTGTCACAAAAAGCAAGTCATATTTCTTTTAACTCATCAGCAGCCCCATTAGGTGAGTGGACTGTTTGTGTAGCCTAAATGGGCTAAATGTTTAAACACAAGCGGAATGCATTTGGTTTAATCTCTTTTCAAATGGGGAAATCCAAATTAGTATCTGGGTTATCCCGTCTGTGTGTCCCCCTCCAGTCAGTGACGTCACTACTCAGGAGGGATGCACGTTCCTGCAGATCAGTTATAAAGGGGTGGAGCTCCGGTGCCCCCTTTCCTCCAGTGCACAAGCGCTGCGTGAAAGTGCGTTTTGTACCCACCAAACAACCTGCTTCAGCTTCACCAAAAGGAACATCAGTGTCACACTGAGTTAATTAAGCTTTTCCATCAGAATTTGCCTCCTTTTCTTCATGCAGTCGCTACGTATTAATATTAATGAGGGGCGTTTCACTGACCATTTATAGGCAACTATGGGTGTTTGAAGGGTCGGACATGGATCTCCCGCACATGCGCCTCATTTCAAGTTGATTGTGATTGATAAAGGGAACCTGCTTACAAGTGTGCATAAGTCTGAATATTTTTTGGCGTACGCCATTTTTGGCTTTTGGCCGCATGTACACTTTTAGTGATGTTTGTACGCACAGTTTTATAAATGAGACCCCTGTGGTTTGTTCTGTATTGTGAGGGTGTAATGGACTTACCATACCAGGCCTTTCTACAGTAGTTTATTTTAGTAGTGGTATATGCTGTTCCTTTAAATCTTTGTGTGAGGCATAAGTACACCATCTGATGTGGTTAAATGTCAGTGTGCTAGCCTAATGCTGCCTCTCTGTGGATGCTTAGTGCAGGCCTGCCAGCTCCCTGTGCCCACTCATGGCAGCCAGTGTTATGTCACGTCTCCAGCTGCAGAACCTGCGACATCTGACCAATCAAATCCTGTCACACGCAGGGTAAAAATAGCCTCCAGGTGCGCGCCTCCCCCCACTGGAAGCAGAAGTGGGATGCTTAAAGGTGGGCTGATGTGTCAGGGTGGGGTAGAAAGGTATTCTGGGTCATGGTTTCTTTCCACGAGTCAAGCTGTCAGTGATGAATTGCAATGGGAAGGGCAGCAGTAGGGGAGAGAGTGAGTGGGCTTGTTCTTGTTCAATTAGATGTGATTAAAGAAAATCACCAGCTCCTTGTACTTTGGAAGTGTTGACATATAGATGTTTTGTCAAGAATTTAACTTTTTAAGATTAATGACTTATCAAGACTAATACTGTACGTATAGCTCATGTTATGAAATAGCTGCTTGCACCTTGTTATTTTTACTCCAGTATAAGTTGAAGATGTTGATCGGTATGGAAAAGACACAAACATGTGCCTCAGATTACCAAACAATGTATTTTGTAACCATCTCACAACTCATACTGTAGATGAAAGTAAACACAGCCCATTTGTCTCCTCTGGATTCCATGGCAACAGCTGAAAATCTGGACAGAGAGAAGCATCCCTTTAACCCTGCTATTCCTTCAATAACTGCAGAACCATTCAGTGAGATTACCTGAGGTCTGAGTTGGCTACTCCTCCATACTTCCCTCCTGATTCCTTTTTCATGAAGTCAATCACAGTCAGTCATTATGAAACCACTTTGCTCATTACGTATATTTAGAAACACTATAAAGCAACATGGTCGCATTAATGCTACAGTATGCAACTGTGGCTTTATTTGAAATCCTGATCAATGACGAGTTCATAGACTGTTAGGTTAATTCAGGTTTACTGTTACTCGTTGGCACTAAAGCATATTCTTTTAGTAGAACAGAGTGCTCGGCCATTCTCCGCTGCTGTTTCCTACATTTATCTGGCACGGAGAATTAAAAGAGGTTTAGAGAAAAGCATTGTGCACTGACAAGATTTGGATTTAAAATGAATTTAGGGTGAACTAAGAAGATTTGAATTTATATTGAAGCTGGTTGTCTTTTTTGGTCTAATAATGTCACACTGATATGAGGGATATTCTCACTAGGGTTAGGCAACATGGTGAAACAAATACTATAAGACCGTGTAAATTAACTATGCTGTTTATACCATGGTATCTATCACTTTAATATCTCTGTGTTTATTCTGCCATTGTAAGAAATGTTGCAAATCAGTTAACTAGACTGCTAAATGGCAATATTGAATTTTCCTACAAACAGGTTTTATTTCAAATGTACTGTATTTTGCATTCAACCTTTTTGTTTTTATATCCATAAACAATTTCACAGTATATTAAGTATTATATATAAATATTTTATATATAAATATATATAAAAAGACAAAATCAGATGAAAATAAAAAATACCAAAAAGTTAAAAAATGGCAATAGTAGTAGCAATAGTAACAAGTGAGAAAAAGCAAACAAACAAAAACAGTTTGATAACAGTACAATAAAACAATGATACCAGTGAAGTTGACCCATATTAAACTTTAAGAACTTTGGAAAGAAAGGCAGTGGAAAATCTGATTTCTTGGAAAATTGGAGGGAGTTGTTCTTCAGCACATAAAGAACAACATCCCAGCCATTCTAAACGATACAGGTAGTTAGCACAGTGATGCCAACAGATGGGTAATGTGATCTTTTTGTATTTTTCAAAATCCTGGCTGCAGCATTCTGAATTATGAAGACTTTTTAGGAAGGCAAGTAAAATGGGAGTTAGAATAGTTGAAGCAGCTTTTAATAAAAGCATGCAGCATTTTAGCATTGTTCTGGGTTAAAAATTGTTTTGGAAATGTTCCTTAAATGAAATAATTATGTTTTTGTGACATTGTTAAAATGGTTAGTAAAATTAAGATTAGAGTCTAAAATCACGCCCAGACTGCAGACAGCAAAGGTGGAAATCCTCTGGAGGCCAACGGCGGTAGACCTTTGGAGGTCTGGTATGAGGCTGGCGACATGACTAAAGCTCAGGACTGAAGGCCAGCGGCTGCAGTGCAGGCCCGGACGCCAGCGACAGGGCAGCATAAATAGAGGACAATTAGGGTACCGGCATGCAAGACTGTCGGGTCAGGGAAACAGCAGACTGCTGCAGCTCAGGCTTAGCAGATAGCTGCAGCTCCGCAAGAGTGACTGACTACTGCAGCTCAGCAGGGGAAGTTGCATGCTGCAGCTGGACAGCTGAATCTCTGTGGAGCTGGCCTGCAAAATCTCTACAGCACTCGGAAGCTTGGTCTTTGGGGCGATGGGCAGCTCGGCCTCTGAGGCGTTGGGCAACAGGAACTCTGGGGAGGTGGACAGTGGTGGATGAGGAGCAACTGACCGGTGACTCTGGGGTGATGAGAGGCTGAGATTGCCAATGGCGTCGTTAACCATGATTACCTTGTCTCTTAATGTGTCCTCCATCGGATCCCTTGAAAATGGCCATGTGAATCCCCTCAAAAGGTGAATGCTGGAAGTCAGAATGAAGCTAGCTAGAAGCTAGCGGGCTGGTTGCTAGCTAACCAGAGTGCAGACTGATGGCTAGCAGACTGGGGAGCAGGCTGAGGTGCAGGGGAAGAATGTCTGTGGAATACTGGCTGGTATCAAATCCCTTAACCAAGGCTTTGAGGAAAAGTCTTGTATGCTTCTCTATGAAAGCCACTGACTTGTTTCCTCAACATGTCTTTTAGCACCACCAGGTTAATCACAAAGTTCATCAGAATATGTGTCAGCTGAATCCATAGTGGTCTGTTCATTCTATCACGCCTAGCCAAACGCAGACACAAGAAAACAAGGAATTTGGACCCAAACGCATGACACCAGGCAGAGCAGATTCAGTTTATGGTGTTTATTCATAATAACACAAAAAGTGAACATGCTTACGTGTTGTAGAGGCAGGCAAGAATCAAAACACAGGAGGACAGTCCAAACACTGGGCAAACAAAACCAGTAGACACAGGCAAAAATCCAAATTCCAGAAATCCAAAAGAAGTCCAATAAACAAGCAGAAACCCAACACACCGGGAAACACTGGGAAACGGGCTTGGATGCTTGACCTGGAGACAGAGGCCAACATGACAAAAGATCATGACATGGATACACAAGAGAGGGGTGAAATAACAAGACAGGTGAAACTCACTAGGGCGGGGTAGACTATCATACAAGCAAGCAAACACACAGGAAGACAGGAAGCAATGTTACACATGAGAAAGGATACAATTTCAAAATAAAATAGAAAATAACAATACACAAACCCAAAACCATTACCAAGTATAGGTCATGTTTATATAGATATCACACTTGAACATACACACACACACACACACACACACAAATGAAAATCACAATATAAAAGTACTTATAACATGATAGAGAATTGAAAGCACTTAAGAAACTGATGTACTATTTCAAGTATACTTGGGATCGAAAATTGTTATTTGACTTTACAACAAACAGGACACCATGATATTTTTTAAAGTTTGGATCGCTCATACTGCTTTCAAAGCAGAATTTATACAGTAACTTTATGCATGTTGGGTCTTTTTTACCTGGCACTAGATGAAAAGTTAGAAGATTAGCAAAGCCATTTAGATTCTTCTTCTGGATACAATGAATGTTTGAAGCAATTTTTTATGACAATCCATCCAATATTAAATGTTTCATTCGGAATCAAAGCAGAGAATCAATAGACCAGACAGCAAGACAAAAAACTTGATAAAAGGCAAAACCTCTCATTGCATTTTCCAACAAAAGGAGATCTCAGCTAATGAACATACACACTCTGTGCATTCCTACACTGGACTCATAAAGAATGGATGCTGCTTAATATATTTTTCATCAAGGAGGTTATACTGTAATTTCATCACAACAAGCAATATGTTCGTACGAAGAAAGCACTGTATTACAATGTAGTTTAGTGCACTTTAGTTGTACAAGCAGCAAAGTGGAGAGTAATCACATAGGCAGTTGATTTATGATGCTTGTCCCCGATTAGGTTTTATATAGATACTCACAAACAACAGGATCCTGATGCTGTGATGTGAAGCATCTTCTGCTTGGCTGGTCTAACTAGATTTTTGCAGTGGAGATGCGCATTTATGCGCGTGTATGTTCATGTGTCCGATGTGATACAGCTGTAGCGTGACAGTGGAGAATTTTAGTATCTTGAAGTGGAGCAGTGTCTGCATTACAGTTTCTTGTTCCCTCTCTTTGATGGACACACATCTGCACATACAAAATAGAAGTAAGATGCAGGCAACACCCACACACAAAAAACACACCCGCTCTGGCATGTGTTCATCTTAACAGAGCTTCTTTAGACTGAGTGGCACTCGGCTGTCTTGTGGGACATATGGCTCAGTGTGACCTGCCAGTGTCCTTCACTGTTGTTGGCTTCGCCCCAAAGCCCCCTAGGCTGCACTATCCTGCACTGCTCTGCAGTTAGTGCCACCTTCTGACACTGGCTCTCTGTGTTCACACCAGCTCTTTTATGTCCCGATGTTGCATTCCTGTTAGACGCTATTCTCAATAGGAGACACTCAAAAGCACAGCAGTGTTGTATCAGAACACAAACAAGTGAGCTATCATTTCCACTCCTTGACTTTATATCCGTAAGGATACATGGAGGACAGTGACTACAATTCACTTTACAGGGCCAAATATATCCATGTTTGAAATGATTGCTTTAAATCCATTATTCAGTATTTGTTAAAAGCGGCCAAAAAAAAAGATTTTTTTGGCCACTTGGGTACAGATGAACACCACAACAAGCTGAAAAACAAATTTATTGCATACACTCACTGGCCACTTTATTAGGTACACCTGTAAAATAAAATGCAATCCAACAGCTTAGCCATAAATTCTACCTTTACAAAGAAAATAATTTTCAGTTTTGATTGATACTGAGGTATTAATTCAACTATATGTTTATTATTGGGGTTTAAGTGTGAAGTGGCTTTGAACTTGACTTCATCATATTGAATGTTTGAAGCACAAATAATGCAGTCCAGTACAACACCACTACTATCTACGACCTCAGTGAATAGTTGAATTATCACTTTTTTAACAAGAATCTGTCCATTCAACCATAAAGGTTGAATATTTGACATAGCTGTTGTACTGGATTGCATTAGATTGTACATGTATACCTAATAAAGTGTCCAGAAAGTGTATTGTTACTTTATAAAGTTGCTGCAGATAATGTATTACCTCATAATTGTCTAATTAAACGTCAAACAGACATGGAGCAACATGTACATGCATTTTTTGTCATGCTTTTTTTTCACCTGACTAAACTAATTCCAATATTTAGCTCTGCTTTTGTCTCTAAAAAAAATGGGTCCTTAAATTGCTACATATTCAACTTTATTCAGTATCATCTACTGCCATTTAGTACTGGGCAGGTAGGGTACACTGGGATTATTTGGGCTTGTTTGCTGAAAACAGCTGCCTACAGCTGTTGAAAATTGCGTTGATAAGAGCAAGATTTGGCCATAAAACCGATCAGCTAACAAGAAACTAGAAGTTGCCAGTTTATTGGGTACCCCTAGAAAACTAAACTAAAACTAATGCAGTCTAATACAACAGCCCAACTTTCACCTATCAATGCATCACTCTGTGTTATTTTGAAAGGAAACTCATCATGAGTTTCTGCAGTGCCCCTTTTTCTTTGTGTATTTTTTGGTGTTCTGGGGCCCAATGCCAACAACATACTAGCTCTGGTGTTCAGTCAAGATTTATAGGGCTGTACTTTCAAGTATACTCTGTATTTTCTCAGTGTAACTGTGATGTTTCAAAAGTTTCTGATTAGTGTGGTGCATTCTCTCATTTATTTTCCCTCAAGTATCACTTTTATGAATTCGGGGACTGTGGGGCCAAATGTAGCGGAGCTGTGAAATGTGGTTTATTTTTTCTATATATATTTTTTATTTTTTCTTGCTGTGGAGGATCTTAGAATGTTTTGAATTCTAGCATTGCCTCTTACCAGATAAGCCATTCTTGCTTTTACTTTTGTTGAATGATGTTCTAAGACTTGAAGAATATGTTGTAACTGGTAGCCTGTGGGTTGCATTTGACCCCATATTAACCTTGAATATATTTCTTGGATGAATTTGATCTAGTAGGTTGCTGTTGGTAATTGCTTTAATCAAAGGTTTACTAGTTTCTTCATGATTTCAGGGATCCTTACTGGCACCTATTATACATATATTTTACATGTGTTTGTCTGTTTGTTATCAGCCATTTTAATCATTCTTTAAAAAACTGTTTTCTTGCCATAAAATGGGGTAAATTTAGCCATAGCTGTTCTCTACAACTGTCAGTGTAATTGTATTGTGATTATTCATCAAGCCCAATGTCAACAAAATGGTGCAGTTGCACAGAACGTCAGGATGCAGTACAATACGAGTGTGTGTTTGTGTACTGACCTTGTGCTCTCTCTGTACAGGTACACCCTTTGCTGATGCGCGAGAGGCGCTCAGAGTCTCACAGGAACAAGCTACTGCGGCGGACAGTCAGCGTTCCTGTTGAAGGAAGGCACCATCCCGAGATGGGTGAGCAGACAAACCTTTATCAGAATCAGAATCTCTTTATTGTCATTGTAAGCTCTTCATACATTTAAGCAGCAGCTTTAAGTGATGTCTTAATTGAGGTCTATCCAACATTATTATTTATATATTTTGTTGTTTTCAATTTTCACTTTTTAAAAATTAAATAAAATAGGATCAAATCCAATTAAATCTCAACCTCAAGGACAGCCCAAATGCCAGCCTGTATGGGCCTGACTTTATGGAACAATTTTTGGGTGATGGGTCTCAACCTTATTCAACTTCTTTTCCTTCTTGTCTGTTTTGATTTTCAAAATCATTGTCACCTGTATTACTTTAGCTTAACTTGCTTATAATAATAGGATTGTTGCATAGCAACAACAATAATGTAAAGCTCTTTGCATCCTTTGAGCTATTACTCTCTCTGCTGTTAGCAATGCTCACAGCAGCACACTGAATATGAGCGGAGATAAACGCATCCCATCTGATCAGGGTTTAAGGTAGGGATGCGCCAAAATGAAAATTCTTGGCTGAAGCCGAATATAATGAAAAAATTTGCAGAATACCGAACAAAACTGCACTAAATTCATCAAGTCCAACCCAATTTGATAAATAATGTTGTAATGTTATATGTGGTTCTCGTTTTGTGTAACATGAAGATTTGATAGCCTCTCTTCAGGTAGGACTCTCATACTGCAACACTTGTCTTTGTAAAGAGAGAAAATAACAGGATAAAGTCGCTAACCTGCCTGTCAGCTCGCACTTGTTCAGTGGTTTCAGTGGATTTACCATAAAAGCTTGAATATGTGTGCACTCCAGATTTAGGTGCGGCTAGCTTAATTTCCTTCTCATAAACGAATGACAAACAAGGGTCAGACTGTTTGTTGCCTTTTCTAAGAAGTCAGCCACAGTGGATGTGCTAGGAGACAATTCAACAGTACTGTATCTGCAAACGGCGATTTTTGTCTTTCTCAGACACTTTAAAATGCATCGTAATTGTTTGGTAAAATTTCTTTGGTCTTTTGACTTATTAGGCTTAAGTGCTTTTTTTGCTATTTTCGGCCGATTAATTCTGGTGGCTGAACATTCGGAGCTTCCCTAGTTTAAGCAATTGCGTGGGGTGGGGTAAATTTGGGGGGAAGCCAAGTGAGAGGAGATGTCCTTTTTGAAGGGCAGTTATCTAATGCATTGTGCTATTACAGTGCAGGGTATAATTTTACACAAAACTGAATCATACTTTAAAGATGCGCACACATCTGTTTTTAATACACACGCTGAAAGTTACATTTACCGAGAGGTACGCTCTCTCTCTCATTCACTCAGTAATTCTCTCTCACCTCAAATAGCATACACAGCCCGCTGCTTACAGTGCAGAGAATGAAAGAAGCATTCACAAGCTCAATCAGAAGATGACTGAAGACATTTGCATAGTAGCAGTGGTGCATGTATCAAATAGGCCTACATAATTCTTAACCTCTTAACATTCCTGTAAAATTCATGTAAAACGCCTATTCAAGGCATATCCAAAGTAAATTGAATGTAGTTCTTGAACCATTTGGAGTATATGTATGGTTTTGGGCTTCTCTGAAAGATAACACTCTGGAGTGTCTAACCCAAAAGAATGATTGTAAGTGCTACTGGAATTGATTAATGTAAGTTTAAACACACTAAAACTAATATGTTTTTTGTTTCCGCTTGAAAATGCTTGCTAACAAATGCATGCAGACAACTATAGCTGGGACTTAGCTGGAAATGTAGGGCCACAGGATAAAGCATTGCCTAGTCCTAGTTTACATTTCATACCAATACCATGAAAAATGACTATTTTACACAGATTTTCACACAAGTGTATGTCTTAGCGTACTTTTTCTAAAACAGCACCGCCCCTTGGCGGCAGGCTGCTGCCGCTGCATCGCTACGTTGCTGGTAGATCATGAACTTCTGACTTAAAGCTGGATATTTTCAGAATTTTATTTGTTACACGAAGTGCCAAGTCATCGGCACAATTGCTTGCAATTGTCTCGGCCTACCCACGAAATAATAGGGGCTGGCCCTTCCTTACAGCGCGGGCTCTCGTTGGCTATTGTAGGCTGTTAAAGGGACATGTGAGCTCTTATTGGTTCGGATTTGGTGTCACTCGAAAGGTTAGAGTTCAGCAGCTAATGTGAAAACAAGCTATCATAGTTGTTTACATTCAAATCGGCGTTATTACGGTTATAATGACATACGAGCCACGTCTGCCGGCAAATATGAAACGATGCAGCAGCAATCCCTGGGGATTTATTGATGGAATAATGTGTTTTGGACTGAATGTTTTTACTGGATTGGATCATCTGGACTTCTGACAATGTAACAAGACCATTTTTGTTGGAATATAATCGATCGGTGGATTACTATGAGGCTTCATAGGTGAGTTGTGTCAATTTTGCTTGTATTTGTTGGTCGGACAGAAGCACTGATTGTACCCGCTGTGGTGATTGTATCTTGAAATTGTTTGCGTTGGTCGAATCATGAGGACTTTAGCTTTCAAATGATGTATCATGAGTATGAAGTTAACATAGCAGCTGTGTGCACATACCGAAAGCTGCTGCCAGGACCTGACGGCCCATGGGCCAAATGTTAGACTAACAACTGAGTACCAGACCAACAGAGTATAGACAATTATTCAGATAGTCTAACCTGGTCCAGTGCCCTGTGGCAGGTGCTGTCTGTGGTGCTCATTATCTGTGTGTACACAACCACAGTAAAAACAATAAGGTTACTTCAACTGACTCATTCGTTTGCAGCTAAATCCAGGCAAGCAAAGCAAAACAAACAATATAACCACATCAAAAATTGCACAAATAGCTGCAGTTCAGTTAAGTTCAGAGAGAGAAGGAGGTGTCATTTCAATCACCCTATCTGAAAAGGAAGGCCATTCTCCCTGTCTTTCATGTTATAGAAGTTATAGAATTTCCCACTGGCTTTTAGTTCCTCCACAACAACAGAGTCAAGTGAAGTTTGGCACTACTAGCTAGCCACTCTGTACGGATATAGTTTTCCTCATTGAACGTCCAAAAACCCTTTTTCCTCTCCAGGCGCAGCTCCAGTTTTTGTGTTGGTCGTCCGTCAGATTTAATCTTAAGTTGCTGCTGTAGTGGTAGTTTAGAAAAACTATTTATTAGAACTAAAAACTCCAAATCTCCACCCTCCATAACTGCACCAGCTAAAGTTGCTAACAGCTCCCGTTATTTCATCTGAATGACGTTGATTGCGTGCTGTGATTTGATTGGCGTGAAGCCAGACAGCGGCTGGCTTCCCTTGGCATCATCCTGATTACACACAGTAAGGCAGTGGCATGACAGTGGCCTCATCTGATTGGTTAATTATTTAATTTTTTTTCACAAAGGGATGACAACTCTGCCTGGCCTCCTCGCGTAGTGAGACTGAAGGCCAGTCTATGGTGGTGCAATATAGTGTTTCACCACACATCCAACGCGTAGCATTTAGAAGGGCGCTGTTTCACTTATTGTAAGACAAGGAGAAATAGGGAAGAGATGAAAGCAACAGCTTATAATATTTATCGAAACTATAAACTTTGTATTTTTATTGAAATGATAAATAGAGATAAAAAACAAGGCTTCCCTTGGCTTCTGGGAGAAAACGCCACTGAGTTTAAGGCAGCTGTTTTCTTTCTACCAGATTTTGACTTGTTATTCTTTTGTCGGGTTGGGTGATTTATCTATTGCCTTGCTTTGAAATGAATTTAATTTATTTGAAATCTTAAAAATCATGCATATCTTTTGAATTTTCTGTGTCTTTGTTTCTTCTTTAATCCATCTAAAAGTTTTATTTTTGCAATCATCTTTGCCTGCTTTTCTTTCTTAATGATTTTAACTTTATCTTTATCGTCTCTGCTTTTATATTGCTGTATTGTCCTCTCAAACTCTCCTTGGAAAACGCCAAACTCTGCTCCTTGTAAATCTGACAATCTGATAGCTGTCCACTGTCTGTTTTGCCTGACTCAGTTTCTTTGGGCCCTCTACAAATGTCCCGCTGAGTTTCTCCCTCTTCCTTCACCCTCCACCTTTCCGTCTCACTCGGCTATTTTAAGGGCTTCCCTTGTGACGTCCTCCATCTACGATTCTGCCGTTGCCACCTCAACACTTGTGCTGATTCAACTGGATAAATTTTTCCCTCAGTTTTCATGTGAATGGCTCTATGATGCCAAAGTGGTCAAGCATTGACACATCAGTTGACATGGTCCCTCTATCCTTTAACAAATGCTGACATAGCAATGCCATTTAATTTTACCCATGTAAATGTCTTGTATTTTATGTTGTTAGTAGTAGTAATATGTTAGTATGCTAGCATATTAGTTAGTACGCTACCCTACAGGCCATAATACACTGACACCATTATGGGCCATCTGTGGTGATTACGCCCAAAGAGACAGAAGAGATTAATGGGCCCAAGGTAATTAGCAATTATCAGATCAACAAAAAAGCAAATGGAGGTTGTCATAAGGCCACAGTTAGAGATGAAGTCTACAGGGAGCTACATGACCTATAAAATCACTGACATACACATACACTGAGCTGATGAAAGTTCAGTGCAGATATGAATTCAGTTTGCAGTCATTGTAATAAAATACTGTATCATCTATTTATTTTTAACTAGACTGGCATAAATTTTGGACTTCTATCACGCAATTAAAGTACTGTCTGCTGGCCAACAGATCACACTGTGGTTGTACTGGGCAGTTTCTTGTTTTTAATAGTAGTATCTGTATTACTTCCTGGAAAAGATAATTTCTTCTCAGTAAGTAAATTAATGAATTAATAAAGCCCATGATCTCTATGATTTGTTCAAGTGTACAGTCAGTGGATATTGTGCCCAAAATAGAAAGGAATTCTTTGACATTTTGGGCCATAATATTTTACTCTATTGCCAAGAATTAGAGG